TAAAACATCTCTATCGTTCGCCACAAAGAATAGATTTGTTTGAAGACAGTCAAGCACAGGCGTCTCTGGCCAAAATGGGAACCAAGCTACACACGGTGTATAGTAGGTGATTACCAGAATTCCAATGTCATTCAAATCTCCCTAGTATCCCATCATCAAGTGTGCGGTGTTCAGCAAGGGACGCGATACACAACACCGCACACCCACTGCGCACGCCAAGCGCGCAGGCTACAATGTCGTCCGGCTTCCATCGAATCGCCAGGCCAGGGACTCGAGCTTTTTGTTATGCTCTATTTCTCTGCCTGAATGACTGGCGGGACAGAGCTGAATTGTGCGGGCGGTGAAGTTTCTGCGGCGGCAAGCGCAGCAACGTTCGTCCCATCGCATCGCTCGACTGCCTCCCTCCTTCATTGTCTTCTCACTGCACTCAATGGCGATGAACCACAAACACAACATCAACTGCGCTCGGATCTCCAGCCCTTTATAAGGTCATAAGGAAGGGACTCGACTAGGCAACACTCACAACATGTTTACTCCTCTCGTCTGGAGTGCCGTTTCTCTGGGTTGTGCGACGCACGCACTAGCAAATCTCGTAGAAAGAGATCCAATCACTTGGTCGACCGAAGAATGCACCACAGTCTTTCTCCTCGCCGCTGAAAATCTCGACAAGCCACCGTTGGAATGCGCCAAAATATCGTATGCAGCCGTTCCTTCAAGGTTTCCTTTTACTGACTGTGTATTAGAGTTCCTCTAGACTATGCAGATTCTAGCAAGGGAACGATTCGTCTACAAATGGCACGCATACCTGCAACTCAGCAGCCCAGTCGGGGTGGTATCTTTTTCAATCCCGGCGGACCTGGTGGGCCTGGTACGCTCGGTATAGCTCAAATTGGAAGCGAACTTGCAGAAAAGTGGGGCGCAGACTGGGACTTTGTCTCGTGGGATCCTCGTATGTTCACCAGCTACTAAATTCTCCGTATATACTAAGACGTTGTGTTTGTAGGTGGCATTTGGGCTTCTGAACCCTTCATCAAGGACCTGACCCTCGCAGAAAAAGTGGATATCTGGGGAGAAACTATTCATCCGGGACAAGACGAGGGTCACGGAAACCTAACCACTGATGCCGATGCAGCATTCTAGTCAGTTTCAATTAGCCTACCCTCAATTAATGCTCATGAATTTATAGCCGGAGCCATGCTTCTATCATTGACCAGGGTCTGCAAAAGTTTGACGAGGTATTCAAGAGCAAGAATGGTGCCAATTTGACCTAGTGGGTATCATCAAATTGACCCATGGGCTTTAATTCTCTGTGCACTGACCAGCTATGATAGCATTAGCACCACATCCAATGTCCGGGATATCGTCACCATGGCCGACGCTTTATACGGAAGCGACAAAGATATCAACTACTATGGAATCAGCTACGGCACTTATATAGGAATGATACTTACTCAAATGTTTCCC